ATCAACATTTTTCTAATTTTTTCCTCTCGACATGGACGTCCTGTTGTCCACGGCGATAATCCATTGCAAAAAATACCACAAAGAGCACACGCGCGCGTTCATGTCAGAATCCTACCGAACACCGTGTGTTTGCAAGCATTTCAACATTAAAACATCAAAAACCCAATGCTTTTTCACAAAAAACTGTACAAATTTCCCGCCCGGGTTCTCTTGCTGAAATCATAGGAAAACCATAGGAATCTTAAGAATTCGGTCAAATCCAGCGATTTCACGTCATCGCGCGGTGCACTCGCGATGCTCTGTCATGCACCAGGCCGCGAATCCTGTTCAAAAAAATACGACAAAGAGCACAATCGCGCGTTCATGTCAGAATCCTACCGAACACCGTGTGTTTGCAAGCATTTCAACATAAAAACATCAAAAACCAAATGCTTTTTCACAAAAATGCTTTGGGGTGTCCTGTCAGACCGTCGGGCTTCCTCCGGCCACCTCTGGCTTCCTGCGGCGTACCGGGCCATTCTCGACTCGTCTGGCAATGCGTGCGCGGCATTCAACACGCGCTCGCCAGTTCCCGTCGGCAACCGCCATCGCGGCCGCATCAGCTGTACCAAACCGGCTGGCCGGTGTGACTTCGGCCCCCAGTTGTGCCAGCTTTGCTTCTTATGTTGTGGGAGGCGGGTGGGACTGGGCATGCCATGCTTGACTCGCTCGAGCTGGCTAGCTTGACTCCTACTCCTACTCCTACTCCTGCTCCTACTGCTCCCGCCCTCTTCTCTCCCTCCTCGTATCTGTTGCTGCTGCTGCTCCTCCTTCTCCTCCTCCTCCTCCTCATCCCTCCCCCCTCCTACTCTTTCTCCTCCTCCTCCTCCTCCTCCTCCTCCTCCTCCGCCTCTGGGCCAGCACTTCTTGGAAGCGCGCCCACCCCGCGGGCGCGCTTCACGCCCGGCCCGGCAGGCCCGTGCGGCGGGAAAACGGGAGAACGTGCAGGGGCGGCGGGCGCTGCCGCCGTCCCAGCGACGGAGACAGCGATGGCTGGCAGCGCGCCGAGTGCTCCCCGTCCAGGGTGCTTGAAAATAGCCTCCCAGACCTTCCAGACCTGACCCTCCGGAGTGCTCCAAAATAGCTTTCTGGGCCTTGCAGACCTCGCCTTCCCGGGGAGGGCAGCCTGACCTCCAGAGTGCCAAAAGATGGCCCTCCAGGCCTCAGAAGACCTGCTATCTGGGCTGCCTAAGAAAACCTCAACAGGAATTCGGACGTCGACGTCCTGGTGCTATTCTTCAACCCTCCTGGAAGGTCAGGGCAGACGGGGGCGGGCCTTCTCGGAAGGCTCAGGAGGCCTCTGGTCGTCCTGGGAAGCTCTCGGAGCCTCTCCGCCTCCGCCGAGGCCACGGGCGGCTTCTCAGAAGGCCACGGGGGCTTCTGAGAGAAGCCCCGCCGCCTGCCGAGAAGGCCTGCCCCCCCCGCGCTTCCCCCCTCGGCGTGCCGCTGGGGCAGGCGGGGATCGACCCGTGGGGGGTAGGAGGCTCTCAGGGAGGAGGAGGATGAGGAGGGGGAGGAGGATGAGAAGGGGGAGGAGGAGAAGGAGGAGGAGGAGGAGGAGGAGGAGGATGAGGAGGAGGAGAAGGGGGAGGAGGCGGAGGAGGAGGAGGGGGTGGAGGAGGGGGTGGGGAAACATCGAGCTGGAATCGCCGATGCATCGCCGATAGATCGATGATGGGCCCCGGGCAGCAGATCCGCAGGCTCCCGGGCGGGGTGGGCTACGGGGCGCCCCCGTCGGCGATGAATGGGCGACTGGGGGTCGATGCGTCTCCCCCTGAGCCTGTCCCCCCCCTACCGTTGCTCCTGACCCAGACATGCGACGTCCTGATTTTTTCAGGACGGCATCCCCGGAAGTCCAGACCCTTTCCCCGCGGTCGGTGCTTCCTCCTGAATCGTTTTTTGACGGTCCCGGGGCCCGGCGAGGGCCCCCAGAGGCCGAAAATGAAGAACAACTTGCCGTCCTGATCGTTTTGCGACGCGATCCTGTCTGGGGACTCTCAGCCCTGCGTGCCCGCGACGTGCTCACAGCATTGTTGCTCCCGGTGGCTGCAGGGTTCCACTCGTGGCGGAGGAGGAGGAGGAGGGGGAGGAGGAGGAGGAGGAGGGGAAGGAGGAGGTGGAGGAGGAGGAGGAGGAGGAGAAGGACGTGCTCGCAGCATTGCCGTCGCCTCCCCGGGCACAGCGAATTCGATTCCCCCCCCTTGTGCGGAGCCCGCCCGGCGGGCGCGCCGCTGCCCGCCCGCGGCAGGGCGGCCAGACCGAAGGGCGCCCGCGCTCTCGGAGGGGGCAGCTCACGCCAGCGCCTGGCGGGGCAGGCAGATGCTAGGGGGCAAACAAACCAACCTCGCTTTTGACCACCCTCGCTTCCAAGAGATACCAAACGATGCCAAACTACGGCCTGTACTGGTCAGGCCGCTCGACGAGGAGGCGCGTGGTATGACTTGGTTTTGCCTGGAAGCGAAAGCGGGGTAGGTAATTCACGCTCTGAGATGCTGGCAACGCCGCTCCCTTGGCCTCCCCGCGCCTGCCTGTTGCTGCAACAACCATCATTATGGGAAATGCTTGGCACTCTTCGGCCCCCGCGGGCCCTCGCCATGCCACAAGACCGTGCGAACATGGCTCGGCATGAAGAGCCGGTCCCGAGGAAGGGGTCCAGACCAGCAGGGAGCCACGTCGTGCAAACCAGACGACGTCGGATATCTATAGGCCTGCCAACACTGGCCATCGCTCGGACGTGCATTCCCTGTTTTTTATGGTTTCGTGCGTGTTTTTTTCGCCAAAGGATCAAGGATGCTCCTCGATGGTCCTCGCCGAAGAAAAAACGCACACGTCCGAGCGATGCCAAGAACACCGCCGCATCCCGGGCCTCTCCCTGGGGGTGCTGTTGGTGGCCAGGGATCTCGAGGCGAGCGCAGCCGTGGCGGCGAGGGCCTGCCTATGAGGACCCCCCAGGCATCGGGTGCGCCGCAGAGGGGTGCCAGAAAGAGGGAGCGCTGCGCAGCATGACCCGAGGCACGTGTTCGGACGAGGCGGGGGCCAGGGGATGCGCTGCAAGAAGAAGAAGAAAAATAATATTAATCATAGTACGACACAGAAAACTATGACTAATAATAATGGTGATAATAATAATGATAAACACATACTCGTACTCAAGAGTAATAATCCACCACCATGCCTTCGGCAGTGGAGTGCCCCAAGACGCATGCCGCTCTGCGAGGTACGAGGGCTGGTGCTTCTTAAGGGTCCTGGAGGGCCCGAAGCCCCGGCTTCCCAGGCGGCCCTGGCCGGTCGTGGGCGCTGCCCGGGTGTGTCGCCCGAGCTTTTGGGACGCCAGCCTGGACATGACCGCGTCGTAACAAAAACCAGGCCGGCAAATGGGTCGCCAATGTCGGCCTCTGGGGGCCCTCGCCGGGTCCCGGGACCGTCAAACAACGGAACAGGAGGAAACGCCAGCACTTTGGGAGAAGATCTGGACTTCCGGGGACGCCGTTTTGAAACAAGCAGGACGCCGCGTGTCTGGGAAGAGAGCTCCGAGACGGACCGAGAGGAGGAGGAGGAGGAGGAGGAGGAGGAGGAGGAGGAGGAGGAGGAGGAGGAGGAGGAGGAGAGGAGGGGGAGGCGGAGGAGGAGGGGGAGAGGAGGAGGAGGAGGAGGCAGGAGGAGGAGGAGGAGGAGGAGGAAGGAGGAGGGGGAGGAGGAGGAGGAGAGGAGGAGGAGGAGGGGGAGGAGGAGGCGGGAGGGAGGAGGAGGGGGGGAGGAGGAGGAGGAGGAGGAGGACCGCAAGAGGCTCCACAGGCGGCCGAAGACGGCCTCGAGTCGTCGATCCATCGGCCCAGGACGCCCAGGGTGGCCGCGAGACGGCCGAAGGTGCCCCCCCCCCAAAACACCCCAGGAGGCCTCCCTATAGAAGGCCCCAAGAAGGAGGAGGAGGAGGAGGAGGAGGAGGAGGAGGAGGAGGAGGAAAAGGAAAGAGGAAGAGGAGGAGGAGGAGGAGGAGGAGGAGGAGCAGGAAGCAGGAGGAGGAGGAGGAGGAGGAGGAGGAAGAGGAAGCAGGAGGAGGAGGAGGAGGAGGAGGAGGAGGAGGAGAGAGGAGGAGGCGGAGGAGGAGGAGGAGGAGGAGGAGGAGAAGGCACTACAAGAAGGGACAATTCATTGATCTGCAGAGAACCTCAAGAGATGATTTCAGGGCGTTCTAGATGGGGGGCTTCTGGACGCTCCAGGACGGCCCAAGAGGCCCCCAAGATCGCCCCAAGACGGGCCAAGAGGCCTCCAAGAGGGTCCCCAAACGGCCCGAGGGGGCCCCGACGGGGGACCTGAATGGACATTTCTAGCTCTCGGCCCTGGGATGCCCCCACAAGGTGCCACGAGGCCCCCAAGAGACCGTCAAGAGCCCCCAAGAGGCCTCCAAGAGGCCCCCAGGAAGCCCTAAGAGGTCCCCAAGAGACCCCCGAGAGGCTCCCAAGAAGCCCCCAAACTGCTTGCAAGAGGTCCCAAGGAACGCCCTCCAAAGATCCCAAGAAGCATCCCTGAGGTCTGACCCGCAACCCAGGCTCGGTGGCGGGATAGGCCGAAGGCCATTCGATCCGCCGCCCCCTGCGGGCTTGCCACAGGGGTGCCTGACGTGCCAGATCCTATACAGCTTGGTTTTTGTTTCTTTTCCAAAAAAGAACTCCCCCTGGGGCTTCGGCCGATCCTGCTGGCCACCAGGAAGGCTGCCGAAGATGCACGAGTGGTTGCCCAAATCGCCGCCAAGACGGCCAAGATGGCCCAAGATGGCCTCCAAGACGACCAGTCTGGTCTTCAAATTCGCCCAAGATGGTCCAAGATGGCCTCCAAGACGGCCCGAGAGGGTCCAATATGCCTCCACATCTGCCCAAGAAGACTCCAAGACGGCCCAAGAGGCCACCAAGAGGCCTCCAAGACGGCCAAGAGGCCGCCAAGATGTCCTCCAGGAGGGCCCGAGGAGGCCACAATCATTGATTTCCGTTTTTTTGGGGGACAGATTTTGGCATTGCTTCTTTTCGGCCTTCCGACGGCCCAAGACAGTCCAACCCAAGATCGTCCCAAGAGCGCCCAAGAGGCCTCCACGAAGGCCCCAGGACGCCCCGAGAAGCCCCCAAGACGGCCCACAGGGGGGCCCAAGAGGGCCCAAGAGGCCTCCATGACGGCCAAGATGGCCTCCAAGACGGCCCTGAAGCACCTCCTCCTCCTCCTCCTCCTCCTCCCCTCCTCCTCCTCCTCCTCCTCCTCCTCCTCCTCCTCCTCCTCCTCCTCCTCCTCCTCCTCCTCCTCCCCCCGTTTCCTTCTTGTCCTTATCATCCTCCTCACTTTCGGCCACACGGGCGCTTCCAACAAGGCAGGTGGCGGCGGGGTTTGCCGCAAGCGTCTTCGGTAATAATGGAACGAAGAAACATAAGAGGGCCATGACATCTGGGAGAAGTCATGGCTCTGGCCATGATATCCGCACCGTCCTAGTCCTCACCCTCTGCTGGAGACCCCAGGCCGTCGTGAGCGCTGGGCGTGGGATCCCAGACTCGTGCCGATTCAGACGGGAGCAGCGGGGGCTGCTCGAAGCTGAGTTGCGCTCAGTTTCTTTCGGCGGTTCCGCGGGGCCTTTGGCTGACAGACCCCAGCCCTAGCAGTCCCCTGATAGAGGCCTCCCCACTGGGGCCCGAGTAGATGGGGTCGGAGGATCGGCCGATGCATCGCCGATGCATCGGTGACGCCAGCGATGCATCGGCGACGCTGGCGTGCATCACGTCGAGCTCCACATCGAGCTGCATCTCCGATGCATCGGCGATGCGGCGCGATCCACCGACCCCATCTCCCCGGACCCCATTTTTGGCGGCGCGCGCAAGAGGGTATGGGGGAGGGGGGAAGGCTTCTTAGCAAGAGGGGCTGCTTCCTGAACGGTGCTGGCCTTCCATCCATAGACGTGATCCGCGCCTTCTTAAGAAGCAGAGGTGCTTTCAAAAAGCCTTCCCCCCTCCCCCTACACCTCTGTGCGCGCGACCGACATTTGGGTGAACCTGGGGCACCCGCTTGAAGCCGTTGCCGACGCACAGGCAGCCGCCGTCGGACTCCAGCCGCTCCTCCAGGCGACCGGCGGCCGCCAGCACCAGGCCCAGGAACAGCGGCGCGGGGCGCGCGGGGGTGCTCTGGAACTCGGGGTGGAACTGGCAGGCCACGTAGAAGGGGTGACCCTGCCGCCGCGCGCGGCGGACACGTATGGTCGGGAACCGTTGCTTCGCGTGTCGCGGCGGCGGCCCCAGCGACACGCTGTGCCTTGCGACAGGCTCGCTGCCTGCCCCTGTGGGAGGAGGTCTCAAAGCACTTGACGGTCCCCGGGGCCCGGTGAGGGCACCCAGAGGCTGAACATAGTAACGAAAACGTCCGTCGTGCTTTTTTCACGGCGTGACGAAGTCTGGGCATCTGTGGGGTCGCGGCCCAGGGGCCTGGCCCGCGAGGCCGTGGATATGGAGACGCGCCCAGGACGCTGGGCGGGCCCGCCAGGGCGGCTACGCAGTCGACGTCGCCGCTTCATGCTTTTGGGTGGGTGGGTGGGGGGGGTAGGTGGGACGTTTTCCTGAGGCTCTCGTGGCCACGGTTGGACGCACGATCGGAGCACTGGCCTGGATGGGCCCCGGAAGGGGGAGGAGAAGGAGGAGGAAAAAAGGGAGGAGGAGAAGGAGGAGCAGGAGGAGGAGGAGGAGGAGTAGGAGGAGGAGGAGGAGGAGGATGGAGAGGGAAGAAGGAGGAGGGAAGGAGGAGGAGGGGAGAAGGAGGAGTAGGAGGAGGACGAGGAGGAGAAGGAGGAGGAGGAAGGAGGAGGAGGAGAAGGAGGAGTAGGAGGAGGAAAGAGGAGCGGAGGAGGAGGCGGAGGGGAGGAGGAAGAGGCGCAGGAGGAGGAGGAGGAGGAGGAGGGGAGGAGGAGGAGAAGGGGGAGAGGAGGAGGAGGAGGAGGAGGGGCGGAGGAGGAGGAGAAGGAGGAGGAGGAGGAGGAGGTGAGGAGCAGGAGCAGAGCAGTAGCAGGGAGGAGGAGGAGGGAGAGAGGAGGAGGAGAGGAGGAGGAAGGAGGAGGAGGAGAGGCAGGAGAGGAGGAGGAGGAGCAGGAGGAGGAGGAGGAGGAGGAGGAGGAGGAGGCAGGAGGAGGAGGAGGAGGAGGAGGAGGGAGAGGAGGAGGGAGGAGTGAGGGGAGACATGTGCCCATGCTCGCTCGGCCCGGCGAGGCCCTCGTCGCCATGGCTGGATATATCCCCCCGAGGGCACGGGGAGTGGTCTGGTCTCCTCTTGTGTCACTAAGCTCCGAAGGAGCCTGGGTCGGGGGCGTGGGGCGGAGGAGGAGGAGGAGGAGAGGAGGAGGAGGAGGAGGAGGAGGAGAGGGGAGGAGGAGGAGGAGGAGGAGGAGAGGAGGAGGAGGAGAGAGGAGGAGGAGGAGGAGGCGGAGGAGGAGGAGGAGGAAGGAGGAGGAGGGAGGAGGAGGAGGAAGAGGGGGAGGAGGGAGGAGGAGGAGGATGAGGAGGAGGAGGAGAAGGAGGAGGAGTAGGAGGAGGAGGAGGAGGAAGAGGAGGCGGAGAGGACGAGGAGGCGGCGGAGGAGGAGGAGGAGGAGTGGAGGAGGAGGAGAGGAGGAGCGAGGAGGAGGAGGAGGGGAGGATGCGGAGGAGGAGGAGGTGGAGGAGCAGGAGCAGGAGCAGGAGCAGGAGGAGGAGGAGGAGGAGGAGGAGGAGGAGGAGGAGGAGGAGGACAGGGGCGAGCGTCTCTGGGGCAAACAGGTGGGGGGGCTTCTCGAGAAGGGTGCCCGCCGGCTTCTCACCAGGTTTCCTGGAGGGAGGAAGGGGCTCTGAGCAGCCTCCCCCCATGCCTTTTTGAGCATCGTTTTGCCAGCCCCTATCCCCACTGGCGTGGCCTGGTCCTCACTGGCCGACTCATCCCCCCCCAAGACGGGCATGTAGGCTGTTCCCTTCGAGCTTCGAGGGGCATATCCCCAACTGGCGCGGTGAGATGGTAGGGATGGGGATGGGGATCGGTGCGACGATGCCGACTTCTGTCGTACAGCAGCCTCCATGAGGAAAGGCTTGTGGGACGTCCCCCCGCCCTGCCTTGCGGAGGCCCGCGCGGGCTTCTTGGGTCGCCGCTGGGGTCCCCCTCTCCACGCGGCGCGCGCTGGGGGGGCGGCGCGGAGCGCGTCGGGGGGCGGCGGTGGGGGGGGCTGGGCCGCAGTCGAAGAAATACGCGAGGATCTCCGAAACCAGATGTCTACAAAAACATTTTCAGTGCGCCGAGGCGGGCCCCAGACGGACCACCTCCCTTGGGTCCCAGGGGCAATATGGTGTGATCGCCATGGAGGCCTCAGAGGTCCTGACCCCATTCCCCGAGGTTCCAAGGGCAATAAGGGTGCCGGTTCCATTCATGATGGTGCGTGGTCCCCGCGACGGCCCCTGGAGGCCGAGATCGAGGAGAAACGCCCAGATGCAGCAAATGCTATCCGCGACAGGTCTGGGAGGGCAGGTGGCCATCTCAGACTCGGGTCGGACGAAAGGCGAATCGGCGTGTCGCGCCGACTTCGGCGCTGGTCTCTGACACCGCGGGGATCGGTCGACCTTCAACGATCGGCCGTTTCCGAAACGGCAGATCCTTCAACTAGACAAAAAAATATCAACCATTTTTTTTGTCGCTCCGCGCGGATTTCTCGGATCCGCGCTGGACCCCCCTCCCTGGCGCGCGGAGCGCGCCAGGGGCGGCGCCGGAGGCGTCGCCCGGGGGGCCTGGCGCAGATCCAAGAAGTCCGCGCGGAGCGCCAAAAGTCTGTTTATAGTTTTTGTGTTTTTTGTTGCTTTGTTTTTCTTATTCTTCTTCTTTTTCTTCTTCTTCTTTTTCTTCTTCTTTGATCAACGCCGACCGATTATGGGTCGCCGCCCGTCGACACGGCGCTGACCCACCGCAGCCAGTCTTCCCGGCGACCCCGGGCGCCGGAGAGGCGGCCGTGCAGCGAGGACGGGGCCCCGGCGGCGGAGCCGGAACCAGCCACAGGCAGTGGATTCGGCACCCCTTCAGACCGAGGAGGAGGGGGGGGGAGGGAGGAGGGGGAGGAGGGGGAGGAGTGAGGGAGGGGGAGGAGGAGGGAGGAGGAGGAGGAGGAGGAGGAGGAGGAGATAGGAGGAGGAGGAGCAGGGAGGAGGAGAAGGAGGAGGAGGGGAGGAGAAGGAGGAGGAGGGAGGAGGGGGGAGGGAGGAGGGAAGGAGGGAGGAGGAGGGATGAGGGAGGAGAGAGGGAGAAGGCGGGGGAGAGGTGGCAGACCCTCCGTACGTAGGACCGATATAGGGACGGTCACCCTCCTTGCCTCGTCTCCGGCTTTCGGCTGCGTGTTCTGTCAAGTTGGGCGCAGGGGGGATCGGCGGCGGCTGGGGGAGGGGCTTTTAAACTATAGTCGGCAACTCCTTCCCTCTCCTCCTCCCCCCCCCTCGTCATCCCCTCTTCCTCCTTGCTTGCTGGCTGCTGCTCTCCTCCTCCTTCCTCTTTCCTTCCTGGCTTCTCCTCCTCCCTCCTCGCCTGCCTCCTCCTCATCCCCCTCCCTCTCCTCCTGACTCACCCATCCCTCCTCCCTCCTCGTCACTCCCTCCCCTGCTCCTCATCCCTCCTCAGCCTCCTCATCCTCTCCTTCCTCTCTCCTCCTCTCCTCCTCGTCCTCCTCCTCCTCCCTCCTCCTCCTACTCCTCCTCCCTCCTCCTTCCTCTCCTCTCCTCTCCTCCTCCTCCTTTTCCTCCCTCTCCTACTCCTCTCCTCCTCCCTCCTCCTCCTCTCCTTCCTCCTCCTCCTCTCCTCCTCATCCTCCCTCCCTCCCTCCTCATCCGTCCTCCTCCTCCTCCTCTACTACCTCCTCCTCCTCCTACCTCCTCCTCCTCCTCCTCCTACTCCTCCATCCCCTCCTCATCCTCATCCTCATACTCCTCCGAATCTCCCTCCTCCTCCTCCTCCTCCTACTCTCCTCCTCCTCCTCCTCCTCTCCTCCTCCTCCCTCCTCCTCCCCTCCTTTTCCTCCTTCCTACCTCCTCCTCCTCCTCCCTCCTCCTCCTCCTCCTCCTCCCCTCCTCCTCCTTTTCCCCTTTTCCTCCTCAGAAGCGCGCCGTCTTCTTAGAGGGCCATCCCTCTTGCGCCGCTGGTGTGCGCCGCCAGTGCCTGGAAGGCCCCCCCCTCCCTGAAGGGGCACGTCCGGGTGCGGGGGGCAGGCTCGGGGGAGGAAGTGCCGGCCTGGAGTCGGCGACACATCGCTGAGGGATTCAGGTCGAGCATGTCCTCCTACATGCGAATTTGGAAGACAAATAACATATAGCAACACGAATAACAATAAAACAGTCAAAAGTGCACCGAACATCGTACCCAGACTATTTGTTTTACTATTCTTGAGTATTCCTCTTGCATTTTTTGACTATTCTTGAATCTTCCTCCTGTAGAGGGACATGCCCGACTTCACGGTAGATCGGCGATTGGCCCCTGATGGCGAATCCGCACGCTCTTGGGCGGGGTGAGCTATCGGGCCACTCTCGGCGATGAGTGGGCGATGAGAAGCACACCGCCTCCTCCTCCTCCTCCTCCTCCTCCTCCTCCTCCTCCTCCTCCTCCTCCTCCTCCTCCTCCTCCTCTCTCTCCTCTCCTCCTCTCCTCCTCCTCCTCCTCCCTCTCCTCCTCCCCCTCCTCCTTCTCCTCCTGCTTCTCCTCCTCCTCCTCCTCCTCCTCCTCCTCCTGAGAAACACACCGCCTTCGTAGAGTCGGGGAGACGTAGAACTCGGGTACGGGGGACTCGGGTTGGCCCGACAGGGCCACCATGAAAATGACGAGACCGAATCTGAAATTTGACGCGAGCCTCCGCTACAAACGCTCCACGAAAGCTGGACCGTCAACATCCAGGACGCGCTTGTCCAAAAACGTCGGCAAACCTGAGTTCCGGCTTACTCGAGTCTCACGTTTCCCCGATTATGCAGGCAGGGGCCTTCTCAGAAGCACACCGCCTTCTTAGAGTTAAGTCGGGCCTGTCCCTCTACAGGAGGAATATCCAGAAAAGAATAAAATAGAATCCGGGGACAATTTTCGGACCACTTTTGACTATTTTTGGACATTGGTGAACCATTTTTTAATTTTCCTCCGAAGTCCGCCTGTAAGGGGACATGCCACCTAATCTTAGAGGGCCACCGCTCTCGCGCCGCTGGTGTGCGCCGCCAGTGCCTGGAAGCCCCCCTCCCCCTCCCCGAGGGGACACTTTCGGGGGGCGGGGGGTGCAGGCTCGGGGGGGAAGCACCGGCCTGGAATCGGCGACACATCGCCGGCAGATTCGTGTCGGGCATGTCCTCCTACAGGCGAAATTTGAAGACAAATAAAACATACCAACACAAATATTTGGTGATCGTCGAAAATTCACCGAAAATCGTCACCAGATTTTTGTTTTATACTCTTGAGTGTTCCTCTTCGTCGCTGATGGACGCTGATGGACTCTAAAACGACGCTCGTCGAAACTAAACAGGTGCTCTTTCATCGAGTACCAGACACTGTAGCGCACGCTAGGCACTCCGGAGACGTGTGCCCTCTTGACTCCGTCTCTGGAGTGCATTCGCGTACGTACGCTGGCATTTGGTAATCGATGAGAGGGCGCCGATTTAGCGTTGAGTCAGCGTTGATTTAGCTTCTGTTAGCGTCGATTCGCAAGAGCCAGCAAGATGGTACGGCCGGACCTAAGCCAAAATACCATCCGTCAAGAACATGAGATCCTCCGCCGGCCAATTTGAAGGCCATTCGAGGGTATCCCCCCCCCCCCCCCAGGATGCACGAGAACATCCTACAAGCACGGAGAACATGAGTAGAGGCCTCCTATATGGGGTCCGAGTAGATGGGGTCGGAGGATCGCACCGCATCGCCAATGCATCGCCGATGCACCGCCGATGCATCGGCGACGCCTGCGATGCATCGGCGCCGTCGGCATGGCGAAAATCGGGCTCCACATCGAGCCGCATCGCCGATGCATCGGCGATGCGGCTCGATGCTCCGACACCATCTACTCGGACTCCATCTCGGAGCCCTAAACATTAAGGTACCCTCCCCGAACCGCATTGGAGGCTCATGTGCTCTGCTGCCGGGACCCCTCCCTCCGCGCGCGCGGCCGGCCTGGAGCTCGCACACCTCCATGCGCTGGCCGCGGTCGTCCTTCAGCGGCGAGCGGGGGGGGGAAGTGAGAGGGAGAAGGCCCCCTCAGAAAGCGGCGGGACTTCTCAGAAGCCGGCCGGCCTTCTGGGAAGTTCTCGGTGTCGGCAGGGGAAGGCTTACCCAGACATGCGACTTCCTGTTTTTTTCAGGACGGCATCTCCGGAAGTCTCGACCCTTTCCTTGGGACCTGTTTTTCGTCCTGAGTCGTTTTTTAACGATCCCGAGGCCCGGCGAGGGCCCCCTGGGGGCCGAAAATAGCCAAACACCTTCCGTCTGGATTTGTTTAACGACGCGATCATGTCTGGGTAGAGAACTTCTCAGAACGCCGAAGGACTTCCGAGCCTTCTGAGCAAGGCCCGTCGCCTCTCGCTTCCCCCCCCGCGGCTGGCCGCCGACTTCTGCCTTCGGCGTCGTGGCTGCCCTCGCGCTCCCCTGGGGGGGCTGCCAGCTGCGCAACTTGTCGCCATGCTCGCGTGCTCCTGGGAGGTCCAGTGGAGCACGGTCCTACGCTCAGGTCGGGCAGGCCCTCGTCCAGGCGGAACTTGGAAGCATAATGATCTATATATCTATCTATCTATCTATCTATCTATCTATCTACCTACCTACCTACCTATCTATCTATCTATATATCTACCTACCTACCTACCTACATATATATATATATATCTATATATCTACCTATCTATCTATCTATCTATATGTCTGTCTGTCTATCTATCTATCTATCTACCTATATATCTATCTATCTATCTATCTATCTATCTATCCATCTATCTATCTAGTCAAACATCTGTTCAAGCATAGGCACACATGGTCGAACCATCGCCCCCAGGCTATTTTGCTTTACTGCTCTGGAGTACCACTCCTCCTGTCGAGGGACGTGCCCGACCGTTCACGGCAGCACGGCGAGAGGCCCCCCGATGGCGAACCCGCACGCTCCTGGGCGGGGCGAGCCACCGGGCCCCTCTCGGCGAGGAGTGGGCGATGGGGGGCCGCTGCGTCGCCCCGCCGAGCCTATCGATTCCCCCCCCCCTTAATCGTTAATCGGGTCGGGCGAAAGGGGGGGATAGCAAAGGGGGGGTTTGAGAATCAGCTCGCGTAGCTGATTTTCCCGGCGCCTCCCGGCGCCAGAGGCGACTGTGTATCGAGGAATGGGCCCCTCGGAGGGGCCGAAACCAGCTGCATGCAGCAAATTTCGTAACTCCCCCTTTCCCAATCCCCCCCTTTCGTCCGGCCCGAGTTAAGAATCGGGCCTGTCCCTCTGCAGGGAGAACGTTCATACACAGTCAACAAATCATATGGAGCCGATTTGTTTCAACTATTATTGAGCATGTGTTGAGTATCTTTTCCTTGTTTTAAGCTTTTTGCCCCAAAGTCCCCCTGTAGGGGGACAGGCCCGACCTAACCCCAGCGCTGCCCCTGACCAATCCTTCTCCTCTTCCACGCCGGGTGGTCTTCGGGCTATATAGCTCGGGCCTCCGGCGGAGCCCTGGAAACAAGCCGGGCACCCCCCGAAACGATCTCGGCGAGGTGCAGCTGCCGGAGAGCACCCCGCGGCGGGCAAACCGTGGACGACCGACGAACGCTGCCAGAAACCTCGAGCCCGCATCCCCCCCCCCCCTGAGCCCATCACTCCCTAACCTTGCCCCTGACCCCCTCTCGTCCGCCACCTCCTCCTCCAAGGCACGCACCTCTCCTATAGCTCGGGCCTCTGGCGGAGGCTTGGAAATGAGCGCACCTCCAGACCGGACCACGCGCAACCACTTCTTGCGGACTCAGGACTCCTTGGAAGAAAATGAAGAACACAAAATCAAACAACTGTTCAAACATAGTCAAATATAGTCGACACATCGTCCCCAAACTATTTTTTACTGCTCTTGCATATTCCTCCTGTGGAGGGACACGCCCGACCGAATCCTGCGCGGCTCCAGTCCGGACCACGCGCAGCCGCTTCACTTCTCCCCCCGCCCCCCCCGGGCCCGCCGCCGAGTCTCTCCTGCCCCACGAAGCGCAGGCCCCGGGCCTCCATGGCCGCCACGCAGGACGCGTTCACCTCGTAGCGGTGGCGGTGGCGCTCGTAGATCCGCGGCCCCCCCAAAAGAGGGAGGAGCGAGGAGGAGGAGGAAGAGGAGGAGGAGGAGGACGAGGAGGAGAAGGCGTGGGGCCACGCTGGTCGGGATCCACCAACTGCGCGTGACCCTGAAGGGGGTACCGCGCCCCGGACGTTGTGCCCGCTCCCTGGGCTTCTCCTTGGAGCCGCGACCAAAAAAGTAACCCTGAAGGGGGGCATGAGTTCGTGGCGGTGCAGTGGGATCGCCCTGGAGGCCCCAGAGGTCCTGACCCATTCCCCAAGGCCCAAGGGGCAAGAAGGGTGCCGGATCCATTCATGATGGTGCCGGGTCCTGGCGACGGCCCCTGGAGGCCGAGACCGAAGAGAAACGCTGGGATGCAGTACATGCTGTCGGCGACAGGCCTGGGAGGGCAGGTGGCCATCTCAGACTCGGGCCGGACGAAAGGCGAATCGGCTCACGCACGGCACGTTCATGTCGCGCCGACTTCGGCGCTGGTCTCTGACACCGCGGGGATCGGTCGACCTTGAACGATCGGCCCTTTCCGAAACAGCAGATCCTTCAACTAGAAAGAAAACGGCATAAACATACACTTCTGGCGCTCCGCGAGGATTTCTTGGATCCGCGCTGGGCCCCCCTCCCTGGCACGCGGAGCGCGCCAAGGGTGGCGCCGGAGGCGCCGCCGGGGGGGGCCCGGCGCGGATCCAAGAAATCCGCGTGGAGCGCCAAAAGCTTATGCCGTTGTTTCTTCTTCGATTCAAGGGTGGCCACGCTAGAGCAGGGCTAAACCCGAAGTCGGCGGCGAGCCTGGGGGGGAAGTGAGAAGGGGAGGCGAAGGCCTTCTCAGAAGGCTCGGAAGTCCCGCGGCCTCCTGAGAAATTTCCTAAGCCTTCCCGCCGCCTTCTGAGAGGGCCCCTCCTTCTCACTTCCCCCGCTCGCTCGCCGCCGATTAAACGTGTTTTTCGTTATCGTTTTGTTTTCGTTTTCCCTCGTTTTGCCTTCGTTTTGCTTTTTTGCTGTAAAGCAGTGAAGACGAAAGCGGCCCACGGAAGCGCGAAAACACTCTTCAGGTCGAGCCCTGCGCTGGGTATAGGGGGTCACGTTTGGGTCAGGTTCGGGGCTCGCTTCGAGATCTGAGGTCCACGGGCCACGCTCGGGCCAAGTTCGAGGTTCAGGGGCCACGATGGGGCTAGATCGACGTTCCGGGGCCGTTTAGGGGTTGCGTTAGGGTCAGGGGGCCACGTTAGGTCCGTCGCGATCTGTTTTGCACCCTCTCCGGCTCAATTTTGGGAGAGGGAGGAGGAAGGCTGAGACGGGCAGTTCTTGGCGACGGACGGTTCCGTGTGATCGGCACATCGGGATCAGGTCGGCATCGAATCTGGAAATCGGATCGAGTCGAAATGTGCGTCCAATCAGGCTGCATCGGCACGGAGCCGAAATCGAATTGGATCGGTCCTGTCAAGATCCACAACGATACCATGCACGCATCGGTCCGCATTGGACCGTCGGAATATCGGAATCGAACCGGAGCGAGCCAGCCAGAACCGATGTCGAATCGGAGCGTTCGGGTCAAAAGACGCACCCAGCCCCTCGCGTCGAGACAACAAAATCACGAAGGGCAACTCTTGGCGATTCTCTTCCGGCCTCTGGGGGCGCTCACCCCCCAGGACCATCGAACATCGAGCCAGGAGGAAGCAGTGGTCCCAGTGAGAATGCATGCGGCCCAGGGACACACAAGTAAGTACACACAAATCCCAGGATTCCCCCCATATGTATGTATATAGTTATATATAGATACACACGTGTGTGTATATATATATATATATATATATTGGACATTCGTCTTCCCCCCCGCTTCCCATATTTCCCTATATCAGAACACAAAAAGCCACATACACATGAACTGTTGGAGGTCCGCGAGGACTTCTTGGATCAGCGCCGGACCCCCGTCGCTGGCGCGCGGAGCGCGCTAGGGGATCCGCGCGGAGCGCCAAACAATTTATATGTTTATGGCGTTTTTTCCGGACATCCAGTACGACGTTGTGTTGAGTATTCAGGTCCCGGCTCGGTAAAATTAGATTCGGTGAAAATAGATCTCGCCTAAAGTAGGTCGGTATCTGATATCTAGTTTAAACGAGTGGAGAGTATATGTTTATGGCGTTTTTCTTCTTCGAAATAATCTATGGGGAATCGAGATTCATTGTGCCTGTGTGCTGCTTTCCCTCCCGGGGGGAAGGGTGCCCGGGCACCGGGGCCCACGCTTCCAGAGAGCGCGCGCGGCGTCGGAGGTGCGGGGCGGCGCGCGGGGGCGCCTCTCGGGCTGCCCGCGAGCTGCCTGGCCGGGCTCCTGCTGTCTTTTTAGGGAGCCCACAAAGGACGTACGCGCCCAGCTATGTACATGAACACGGCCCCTCGATCCGCGAGACCTGCCGCGTTATACGACCATTTGCGCAATGCGTACTCTCGAAACCAGCGTGGATTCATGTACATGCACGTCCTTTTTTCGCTCCTGATTCAGGCGGAAGAAAAATAACATGTGTCAACAACTATTCAAGACGAGTCAAAAACAAGAGAAACAATTGTCCCTGGACTATTTGTCGACTATTCTTGAATCTTCCGTCTGTCGAGGGACGTGCCCGACTTAATTGTAGTCGCAGCCTCCCTTTGCCAGAGGGCCCATAGAGTTCGCCCCGTCGCCCCTCTGGGACGGGCCACAGCCGTTCAAAGAGAGCTCCAATGCGGCCATGCGACCCCCCCGCGCTGCCCCGCGATGCCCTGCAATGCCACCTCCCCCCTCCCCCCCACAGAAAAGACGACGGCTCCACGCGGCATCAAAGAGCCCACACGAGGCTCCATAGCCAAACGCGGAATTACCCTCACGCCAGCTCCAACAGAACCGCCCGGACGGCCTCGAGATGGTTAGCCGAACCCCTTCGGGAGGGCTCGGTGGAAACATCTCGCCCACGACGGCCCCGAGATCCCAGCGGGCCCCCAAGAGGTCATCAGTACATGCTGTTTGTTTTTGTTCCCAAGGGGCCCTCAAAACAACCCCCAAACACGCCCCCGGGAGAGCCCCAGGCCCCCCTGGGAGGGCCCAACTGAGCCACCGAGCAGCTCCCAAAAGCCACCCCAAGGCAACGCCAACATGCAACGTCACGGCTGTGCCACGCTGCAGCAGCGTGGCGGTGCTCCCCGATCGGCACCAGGGCGGTTCTGCAAAGCCTGCCAGAAGAGGTCGGTCGAGGCATCCTGCAGGTGTCGCAGTGCTGCGCTGGCACGGCGGCGGCGTCTGCCGCAGGCAGCCAGATGACGGGCTTGCCGCCGTAGATGCGGCACGCCAGCGAGTCCCTGTCGCGGAGGATTGTGGCGCGCGAGCCGAGTCGCATCGTGCCGCCCATGACCGTGGCAGAGGCCTCTGGGAGGAACACGACCACTGGGTGCGGCGTCTCCTCGTCGAACTCGGTTGAGTTGGCCTCCTCCCAGCCGAGCTCGCTGCGCGCGAACTCGATGACAGCCGTCTGCAGGCCGACGCAGATCCCAAGGAAGGGCTTCTTGGTCTCCCGGCAGTAGGCCTCGCAGGCAATCTTTCCCTCGATTCCACGGCCACCAAAACCACCAGGCACAAGAACACCCTGCGCTGATCGGACCTTCTCCCAGCTGTCCTCGTAGCCACGCTGGTCGGTCTTCTGGGCCCCAGGGAGCAGCTTGCAGGAGTCCACCCACGACACCACCAGGCGCAAACCCGCCTCGATGGCGGCGTGCTGCAGGGCCTTCACCACGCTGACGTACGCGTCTGGATTGCCCGTGTACTTGCCGACCAGCGCGATCGAAACCTCCTCCGTGCACCTCTCGACGCGGTCCGCAACCACCCTCCAATCGCCCAGCCGCTGAGCTGCTGCCGACGCAGGGAGCACGTCGACACCGAGCGGCAGCGTTGGCGCCACGGCGCCGGCAACCTCCCCAGCGGCCGCCCGGATGCCAAGCTGCTCGCAGATCAGTCGCCCCACGGCTTGCTTCGCCAGCAGGAGAGGCACCTGGTACAGGTTGGACACGTCGTGCAAGGATATGACCATCTCGGGGGGCACCTGGCAGAACAGCGACAACTTTCTGCGCGTCGCCTCGTCAATCTCGACGTCGCAGCGGCACATCAGCAGGTCCGGCTTCAGGCCCGCCTCGCGCAGCAGCTTCACCGAGTGCTGGCAGGGCTTGGTCTTCTGCTCGTTGGTGGCGCCGACTGTGGGGACCATGCCCAAATGGATCATCAAGAGGTTCTTGTCACCCACCCGGAACTTGAACTGCTGAAGGGCCTCCAGGTAGACAGCGCTCTCGATGTCGCCCACGGTGCCGCCCAGCTCCACGAGGCAGACCTGTGGCGGCGCGCCGGAGCCGTCGACGTTCTTGCGGGCCACGTCGGTGATCCAATCCTGGATTGCGTCTGTGACGTGAGGCACCATCTGCACCGTCTTGCCCAAGTAATGGCCAGTGCGCTCGCGCTTGATGACCTGGTCGTACACCTTGCCGGAGGTCATGCTGTGTCCCGAGGTGAGGGTGAGGCCCAGGAAGCGCTCGTAGTTCCCGAGGTCGAGATCGGCCTCGCCACCGTCCTCGAGCACGTACACCTCTCCGTGCTCGAATGGGCTCATGGTGCCGGCATCGATGTTCAGGTACGGGTCGATCTTGATCGCGGTGACCCTGAGCCCGTGGGACTTCAGCACCACGCCAACGGACGAGATCGTGGTGCCCTTGCCGAGGCCAGAGATAGTCCCTCCGGTGATCACAACATACTTCATGTCTGGGTTCCCGTCGGCGAAGCTGCCGAACGAGCCCGACGAGCCCCTGGGAGGGCTACCAGTGGCGCCCGTGCCGGCCTTGGGTGTGCGCTGCGTGCCCACTGCAGGCATACCGGTGCCAGCCATGGATGCGAGCCCGGGCTGGTGACTCGCCAGGCAGGTCGGTCGAGGTGCTCGAGGCCGAAGACGCCTTGTGCCAAAACGGCTGGAGAAGAAGAGCAGGAGCACCGGACCGTAGCTCGGCATCGAGACAGCTGCTGCGACCTTCGCACATCCTCATCTGCTGCTAGCACGCGTGCCTGAAGGGAGGAGGGGGAGGAGGAGAGGGGTGCGGAGGCTGGCCACTCCTTGGAAAACGGTGCCTAGGGGGAAAACCAACCTGCCTCGCTTTTGACCACCCTCGCTTCCAAGAGATACCGAGCGATGCCAAACTACGGCCTGTACTGGTCAGGCCGCTTGACGAGGAGGCGCGTGGTGTGACTTGGTTTTGCCTGGAAGCGAAAGCGGGGTAGGTAATTCACGGTCTGAGTGCCGCTCCACAAATCGCAAACTAGTACGACCAGTCTACTCCTCAGAGGTCCCTTGGGAAGCTCCTAGCTCTGTTGCCAGCGCGTTAGTCGCGAATATGGTGCCCCTCACCTCGACAAGAACAAACCTTGCACTCAGAGCATCACCCCATGCTTCCCCGTGACAAGTCGAACATATGATCAGTGCCTGTGGTCTGCCGTGCCCCTTCTGAGCGAAGGAGTATAAGACGTGATGCCCAACATGTGCTCAAACAGAACGTTGAACACCTGGTTGTTTCAAACTCCTTCCTTTCGGTTGAATGTGTAATACGTCTGTGGCTGTGTTCCGGTGGGCAATGCTCCTAATTCTACGGTTCGGCCAACGGCACTTTTCCTCTTGCTGCCACTGCTGCAATGCCTGACCTACTGGTCCGCCATCTGACGTTTCCCTCTGTTGCCTCCCCTTTTGCACCTCCTCTCTGATCCGAGTCTCGACATCCGAGCCTCGACTGGCAGCTCTCACGACAATCCATCTGCGCAAGACTCTCCTGCTTGCCGCAGGTACTGCTCCATTCCTGCACTCGGAGGCGGCCAAGAGGGGGGCGTCCAAGAGGGGGGGGCGCAAATCATGGCCGGCGGCATGTGCGCGGCCCAGGGGGGGGGGGGCCAGGGACGCAATGAAACAAATCTAGAGGCGCCATGACATCTGGGGAAATACCATGGCCCACGCCATGATATCCACCCCCCTACCCTGACCTTCCAGGGTGTTAAAAAATAGCCCTCTGGACCTATCGACCTATCCGGACTGCCAAAAACGTCGACAGGAATTCAGGTGTCGAGGTTCTGGTGATATGTTTTAGCCCTCCTGGACGGTCAGGGTAGTCATCACCCCCTCTTTGCCGCCCCCGATGCGCACGGTCGGAACAGCTTCTGCTCAGCGTGCCAGGGCGGCGGCTCCGGCGCCACGCAGAGCGTCACTCCGCTCCGCGTGGCGGCGGGTCGGGAACAGCTCGGGGCGGTGACGCGTGGGGGCTGCGATGTGGTCGGAGGAGGAGGAGGAGGAGGAGGAGGAGGAGGAGGAGGAGGAGGAGGAGGAGGAGGAGGAGGAGGAGTAGAGGAGGAGGGAGGAGGAGGAGGAGGAGGAGGAGGAGGAGGAGGTAGAGGAGGAGGAGGCGGAGGAGGAGGAGGAGGAGGAATAGCGTGTCGCGCCAGGGCGCGGTGGGCCCAAACCTGCTGCGCGACACGGTGAGCCAACGTTCTCCTGAGCGTAGCTCCCCATCTAGTGCACGGGCTCGGCTCCTTGGGCCCAGCCTGGATGTGTGACCTCGAACCCACCTCATGCTCTTTCCCCTCGGCGCCTCCTGCGCCGCCGCCAGGGCCTCGTCCAGGGCCTCCTGGTGGCACCCGGTGCTTGAGAGCAGCATCGAATCCGCGGGGCTTCCCTTCTGGGAGACGGCGTGCGGGCCTTTGCGGAGGTCGCGGCCAGCGTGGCGACAAAGCCTTGTGGATGCCATGACAATTAACACCCTAGCAATCCTATCATTGCAGAAAACATGTGTTTAAACTGTTTGAAACATGTTCCAAACATGCGTACGCCATTTTTTAATATATATACACGTTTCACACATCTGGAAATTATTTGACAACACGCTTCCTCTCCATTGATCTTCTTCCAGAAGCAAAGCCCTCGCGAGTGTGCGGCTACGATCTTCTGCCCCAGGACGCCAAGGCAGACTTACCATCAGCCTTGACTGCTCCCAGCCTTCCCCTGAGCTGAGCCTTCGCTGTTGTAGGAGGGGCTGCTGGTGTGAATCCTCCTTCTCCTGCTCTCGGCGGCGAGCCCAGGGGGGGGGCAGTGAGAGGCGGCGGGCCGTCTCAGAAGGATCGGCAGTTCCCCGGCCTTCGGCACAGTGCCCTGAGCCTTCCCCGAAGACAGGCAAACAACCTCTGAGCAGGCGCGGGGGCTTCTCAGGAGCCCCGCCGCCTCTTGAGAAGGCCTCCTCCTTCTCACTTCCCCCCCCCTCGCTCGCCGCCGGCTCTCCTCCCGCCTCCTCCCTCTCACCTCCCGGCGCCTCGCCTCCTGTCTGCCCCCGCGCTCCCTGCGGGGCTCAGCGGAGCGCGCTCCCCTCGCTCCCCCAGTGTTTTGCGTCCTGCTGCCTCCTCCCCCTCCTCCTCTCCTCCTCCTCCTCCTCCTCCTCCCTCCCCTCTCTCCTCCTCCTCTCCCTCCTCCTCTCCTCCTCCCTCCTCCCCCTCCCTCCTCCCTCCTCCCCCTCCTCCTCCTCCTCCTCCTCCTCCTCCTCGCCTCCTCTCCTCCTCCTCCTCCTCCTCCTCCTCCTCCTCCTACGCCCTGGCTTCAGTGGCGAGCGAGGGGGGGGAACGCAAGAAGGAGGCGGCCTTCTCAAAAGGCGGCGGGGCCTCGCAGAAGCGCTCCGGCCCTCCGAACAATTTTCGATGTTCTCGGGGAAGGCTCAGGGCACTGTGCCGAAGGCCGGGGAACTTCCGAGCCTTCTGAGCAGGCCCGCTCCTTTTCACTTCCCCCCCCGCAACCTGCAGATAGCGATCGTTGCCCAGAGGCTAGAACTGCCGAGCCTTCTGAGAAGGCCCGCCGCCTCTCGCTCCCCCCCCCCCCGGGGCTGGCCGCCGACTTCTGCCCTCTGCGTCCTGGCTGCCCTCGCGCTCCCCCCTGGGGGGGCTGCCAGCTGCGCAGCAGGTCGCCGGTTTCGGGCGCTCCTGGGCAGTGCAGTGGAGCGCGGTCCTGCGCGCATCCAGACCAGACCACGCGCTCCCCCTTGGGGATGTCGACTCCGCAACCATCGCCCCTGTCGTGGGCTCCTGGGAAGTCCACCGGAGCGCCGAGACTTCGCTGCTCCCTGGGGGCTGCCAACTGCGCGACTCTCGGTACTTCATGTGCTCCTGGGAGGTCCAGCGAAGCGCGGTCATACACGCGCCCAGACAACACCTCGCTGCCCACTGGGGGCTGCCAGCTGCGCAACAGTCGCTCTCGTGGGCTCTTCGTAAGCCCAGCGGAGCTCCGTCCTGCGCACAACTATACGAGACCGTACGCTCACTCGGGGGGCTGCCAAGTGCGCAGGTGTCGCCACTTTCGTGGGCCGTCGGGAGGTCCAACGGCGCGCGGTCCCACGCGCAACCAGACAAGACTTCGCTGCTTCCTGGGGGCTGCCCACTGCGCGACGCTCGCGCCCTTTGTGGGCTCCTGTGAGGTCCAGCGGAGCGCGGTCTTGCGCGCATCCAGACGCGACCTCGCTGCTCCCTGGGGGGCTACCCACTGCGCAACTGTCGCTTCCGTTGGTTCCCAGGGGGTCCAGCAGGACGCGGTCGCATCCAAGCGAGACCTCGCGGCCTCCTGCGGGCCAGGGGGCTGCCAACTGCGCAACGTCACTTCCTTGTGCTCCCGTGAGGTCCGGCGGGGCGCGGTCCGACCTCGCTGCTCCCTGGGGGGTGTCAACGCGGAAGCTGTCGCCACTTTCGTGGGCCCCTGTGAGGTCCAGCGGAGCGCGGCCTCAGGCACAGCCAGGCGAGACCTCGTGCTCCTTCGGGGGGCTGCCAACTGCGCAAAGGTTCACACTGTCGTGGTATCTTCGGAGGCCCAGCGGAGCGTGGTTCTACGCACGGCCAGGTGAGACGGTGCGCTCCCTCGGGGAGCTGCCAGCTGCGCAGATGCGCAGCTGCGCTGCCAGCTGCGCAGCTGCGCGGGTGTTGCCACTCTCGTGGGCACCAGGGAGGTTCTAGCGGAGCACGGCCGTACGCGCATCCAGACGAGACCTCGCGCTCCTTCGGGGGGCCTCCAGCTGCGTAGCCGTCGTCCCTCTCGCGGGGTCATGTGAGTCCTGCGAGGTTCCAGCCGCGTGAGGTCTTCCGCACATTCAGGCGAGACCTCGTGCTCTTTCGGGGAGCTGCCAACTGCGCAACGGTTGCCACTTTCGTGGTTTCTTCGGAGGCCCAGCGGAGCCTGGTCCTACGCGCAGCCAGAGGAGACCGTGCGCCCCCTCGCGGGGGCTGCCAGCTGCGACGCTGACGCCACTCTCGTGTGCTCCTGGGAGGCCCAGCCGAGCGCGGTCTTGGGCGTCGCTGCTCCCTCGGGGTCCTGCCGACTGCGCATCCTGGTCTGGTGGTTGACGGCTCCCCTCCTGCTCCGTCGGCCTCTGCCAAGCTGCACCTGCGCTGGTGGGACCGTCGCAGTGGAGAAGAAAAACGTGACAATTCCATTGTTTTTGCGACAGGCAGAAAAGACTCTCCAGATTGGAACCCGATCGGCCGCCTCTGTGGCAGTGGTTGTGCATATTGCATTTGAATCAAGCTAGCCAGGTCGGACGAGTCAGCGAGCCCCGTCCATTCCCCAATTCCCACACCATAGGGAACGTCCGCACTGGAGCGCAACCTTCACGCGAAATCCGTGTGGCGCTGAGGCGATGATGTGACCTGTTTCCCGCGCGCGCGACCTTGCTTTGTCGACGGATCGACAGCGAAAAATACGAGCTGCGCCCATATGCGGGAGCTCAATTCCCAGGACGAGTTTGGCGGCGCGCAAGAGGTAGGGGGAGGGGGGAAATTGTTTAGAACGAGGCTGCTTCTTAGAAGGCGCCGGCCCTGCATCTACAGAGAAGGCTCGCGCCTTATGAGAAGCAGGGGTGCTTCTACGAAGCCTCCCCCCTCCCCCATACACCCGTTCTGCGCGTGGCGAACAATGAGCTGAG